ATGTCAGCATACAGATGATATATCAAATCAAGTGATATGTCAAGTGATATATCTAATCACATTTATGAAGTGCATCTTTAGTAAAAAGTTTTAAATATGGCCCTAAGCTTATCAAGCTGAAAGGAAATATATAACACATGGTGGACAACATAAAATATTTAAGCAAACCCTAAAAATAATAAACCTGAAATAATAAGCAAATAAATGAATGAAGGAAGGAAGGAATAAATAAATCCTAAAAAAAATAAAGATATTAGATTTAAAAACATCAGAACAAAAGAATGCAAAAGAAAACTTGATCAGGTCTTACAAAGAAACAAAAACTGGACTAAAAACAAAACAAACAAACAAAAAATAGAGTCTTACAAAGAAACAAGAAATAAATAACAACAAAAAACATGTTGGGGTCTTTCAAAGAAACAAGAATTAAATAACACAAAAACAAAACAAAACATGATAAGGTCTTACAAAGAAACAAGAAATAAATAACAAAAACAGAAGAAAACAAAACAAAAAAAAGAACAAAAACAAAAACAAAAAACAACAACAACAGGGTCTTACAAAAAATAAAACAAAACAAAGCATTATTGTGTCTTACAAACAAACTAAAATGAAAGAAATTGTATTCAAAACAAAACATGAATGGGTCTTGCCTCTCTTATTATCTCTACCACGATAGGGTTTTCTAGGTCTTTTCCAGGGTGTTGCTATGGTTGCTAACTTCCTATCAAAAGAGCTCACCCAAGTTTCTGTGAAATGGGAATTTGTGTAATCATGCACACAGCACAGTCACAGTCAAAGTTCTAGTTCAGATGATGGCATCTGACATAAACTGGGTAGACTCAGTAGGACACACTGTAAAAAATGACCGTGAATTTAACGGTAAAAGAATGTTAAATGGTTAACGGTAAATTCCCCTACTATATACGGTGAAAAACTGTATTGGACATTACATGTAATTTCACAGTAGTATACCATTTTTGGAAGTGAAAAAGACCATATAATTTACAGTGAATAACCGTAAATTGACATTCCCAGAATTACCTGCATTACATTTCAAATTTGATGTTTTTTTGTTGAAATAACTTTCTTAATTTTTTCTTATCCGTTTTGTATATTAGGGTTGTATGTTACACCTAATGTTGTTAAATTAATGTTTATTGCATTACTTCAGTTTCATATGTGTTACCATGATGGTGTTTAGTGTTTGCGTGAATGACATTGTGCACCTTCTATATATATTATTATTTAAAGGCTGCTCGTGATGGGCTTTAGTTCATCATGTGACTTTCTCATCACCACTTGCATTTGGTGGCTATCAGTGTATTACAAAAGTACAAAACAGATTTCAATACTTCAATAGGTTGGTATATTAACATTATATCAGTTAATTAAATTACGGTATTTAACTGTAAATTTAAGTTAAAGCCGTAAAACCTAAAATTATGCTACCATATTTTTTACAGTAAAATTTCCGGCAACCACAGCTGCCGTTTTACCGTAATTTTACGGAATTTGTTTACAGTGCAGGTTTGTCCTGATCAGCCCTCTCACCAGAATGAAAGAGAAAGATCTGACATACTCACAGCATACTCACACTTTACAGTAAGAGCCTCGTAAGACTGTTGTCACAGCAACGGGAAAATCAAACAGGCCTTTGAATGAGTTTCTCTTGTGTTGTGTAGAATGGGTGGGTCTGCACTGTGCCCATGGTTACACCCTTTTAGTAGAGTGAGTTACAACTGAAAGGAACGCCAACCGAATTAACTGACGTACTTTGGATCAGCGAGTTGACTCATATGTATTAAAGCATCATGTTTGTAAAGACTGTAGACAGAGAGGTAGAAAAATTATGCAGGTATGCAATAGCTGTTTGTTTCAATGAAAGCCCAGCTTTAGATATTGGTTATGGGATCTTAAAGGGATAGTTCACACAAAAATGAAAATTCTGCCATTACTTACTCAAGTAATGGCAGCGTCTCATGTCGTCCCAAACCTGTAAGGCCTTCGTCCATCTTCAGAACACAAATTAAGATATTTTTGATAAAATCTGAGAGCTTTCTGACCCCGCTTAGACAGCAACGTAACTGACACATTCAAGGCTCAGAAAGGTAGTAAGGACATCATTAAATTAGTCCATGTGACATCAGTGGTTCAACCATAATGTTAAGAAGCTAACAGAAAACATTTTGTCCGCAAACAAAAATAACTTTATTCAACAATTTATTCTCTTCCGTGTCAGACTTCGGCGCACATTAATGACAGTACCACAACGCATTCACATGGGCTGCACAAGTGTTCTGATGTGTGCATTTTGTGTTGCCTTACACATACAAGAGGAGACTATTAATAGCATGTGTGTCATTAGCTGAACACCACCATCAGCAGAGCCACGAGCACCACCCAAACTCCTCCAATACAGCCAGGCCTGACATCACTGACCACTTCCCTTTTAGAAATCACAATGAAACTAGCTCTGCACTAAAAGTTCCTGAGCAGGCACACATAAACACAAACCACACACAAACACAAACACACACACACACACAGAGAGTGATGAAAAACTGCTGATATGAAAACAGAGGGGAAACTGTTGTTACAGAATATATATAGTTGTCAGCAGGGACACATGTAATTGATCAAAATCTCTTTAAATAAATGCTTTCTATGGGGAAAAAAAGTGTGTATCACATTTGCCATAAAGCTGCATAACTGGGGTAATGGCTGCTGAAAATTCAGCTTTGCGATCACAGGAATAAATTAACTCACGTGCCCCTGAGAGACAAGAGATGCTCAGAGGGAGTGCCAAAAAGAGCAACTTAGCCTGCTAGCTTAGCCGGCCGAACAACCCACAGAAAATCGCCACCACACACTTTTTACACATATTTTCGACAGGTTATGTCAACTATAACCATTAACAAGTTATTTTCATTCAGTTTAGAGCGACTAAATGCATTTTAGTTACCTGCGGAGGCCCACCATTCTCTAGCAGTCTCAACCCCGGTGTTCACTCCTAAAACCAGCCGAGTTCAGTGTGAAACTGACTACGTCAACGCGAACCAGCGGAAATGACCGTTGCAGCCCGATTTTCATAATACAGGTCTTGGCAAACGTCATTAACTGTTCGACTTTACTTTTAAAACATACTTTTAAAACACACACACACACTTGTCTGGTCAGCTATCCTTGTGGGGACTCTCCATAGGCGTAATGGTTTTTCTACTGTACAGACCGTATATTCTATTGCCCTACACCAACCCTACCCCTAAACCTACCCCTCACAGGAAACTTTCTGCATTTTTAGATTTTCAAAAAACTTAATTCTGTATGATTTATTAGCTTGTTTACCCGTGGGGACCACAATTTAGATCCCCACCATGACACGAGTCCCCTTGAGTCTGTGTGTAGTCAGGTTTAAGTCCCCACTAGCATATATAAACCAGTACACACACTCAGGTTTGTTTTTATGGTTTATGGGGACTCTCCATAGGCGTAATGGTTTTTATACTGTACAAACCGTATATTCTATTGCCCTACACCAACCCTACCCCTAAACCTACCCCTCACAGGAAACTTTCTGCATTTTTAGATTTTCAAAAAACCTTCCATATATTACACAGTCTGAGACATAGAACACGGGGCAGTTAGCCATATCGACAGTATTAGTTGTTACTGTACAATCAGCAATAACACAGCGAATTATAAAGCGAATAAAAAAAAAATCCCAACCAATAAATTATAACATGGTTGTTATAAATTGAGATAAAAAACGTTGACAGTGCTCATGAAAGGCTTGACAACCGGATAGTTCACCCAAAAGTGAAAATTCTGTCATTATCTGACATCACTGAATCATCAATGAACTGACTTTAGCAAGAACATGACTATGTTATTGTCCTCTTGCATTAATGTCAAACTATTTTTTTCTTCTGTTGACACTGTAAAGCTGCTTTGGCACAATCCGTATTGTATAAAGCACTATATAAATAAAGGTGACTTAATTTGACTGTTTCCTAACCCCCCCATGTTGTTACAAAACTGTATGACTTTATTTATCCCAACCAATAAATTATAACATGGTTGTTATAAATTGAGATAAAAAACGTTGACAGTGCTCATGAAAGGCTTGACAACCGGATAGTTCACCCAAAAGTGAAAATTCGGTCATTATCTGACATCACTGAATCATCAATGAACTGACTTTAGCAAGAACATGACTATTGTCCTCTTGCATTAATGTCAAACTATTTTTTTCTTCTGTTGACACTGTAAAGCTGCTTTGGCACAATCCGTATTGTATAAAGCACTATATAAATAAAGGTGACTTAATTTGACTGTTTCCTAACCCCCCCATGTTGTTACAAAACTGTATGACTTTATTTATTTTGTGGAACACAACAGAAGATATTCTATATTGGTAACCAAACCATTTTGGTTACCATTGATTTCCAGAAAATAAATAAATAAATAGGTGTCTAGTACCTACTAAGACCCATAACTGACTTGTGAATTCAGTCACTTGTCACCACCTACTGGTGTAACAATGTAACAGTATACAATGTAATCTGCATAATAAGTCTATCAATACATCTAATGAACAGTGTGGAAAAAACACAGAAAATGGTTGGAAATGCAACAGCAGCACACATTTATGGCTACAACAAATAAGAGAGTAAATGTTATCTTTATATGTATATGGTCAAGGCCAAGGAAGCTACAAGAATTAAATTGGTAATTCATGAATGAACTACAGCTACAGTGGATGGCCTGGCAAGTCTAAGTTATAGAAAATAAGAGTTATTAATAATTGCTGTTATTATTAGTATTATTTATTATGAATTATTTACAATTAATTGAGGAAATAACGACACTTTTTTTTTTTTTTATCTCAAGTGTCACAATAAGTTGATTTGTACGTTTCCAGCATCTGTACCTTTATCAGCGTTTAAAATCAAGGCGCTGTCTCTTTAAGAAACTGCGTCGCTCGGTTTTGGGAAAGCTAAGCGTCGCGAGTCAGATATGGCGGAATGGAAACACACCACGGCGGCTCCGTCTTCAGCGAGCATGACCTCGCTGGGTCGAGCGCTTTCCCGCAGCAGGTTAAGTCAGCCAGAAGGGGTTCAGTCGCAGAAGAGCCGGAGCGCCGCGGGACAGACTCGCAGGAGGTACTCCAGCAGTTCAGAGTCACCTGATATCAGCCCAAATGTCGAGGCGCGGGTCCTGGTCATAAACACCGGCGGAACCATTGGAATGACGTATCATAATAACGGTAACCTGACTGTATCAGCGTCGCTCACACACCTGACTGTATCAGCGTCGCTCACACACCTGACTGTATCAGCGTCGCTCACACACCTGACTGCTAGAGGCTCACATATGGACGACTAACTGCACTGCAGACACGTTTATGGCATTATTTGTCAATATCCTTCACACATTTCAATAATACATAATAAAAAATGTCGAGGCACCCGTTGGAATGACGTATCATAATAACGGTAACCTGACTGTATCAGCGTCGCTCACACACCTGACTGTATCAGCGTCGCTCACACACCTGACTGTATCAGCGTCGCTCACACACCTGACTGTATCAGCGTCGCTCACACACCTGACTGCTAGAGGCTCACATATGGACGACTAACTGCACTGCAGACACGTTTATGGCATTATTTGTCGATATCCTTCACACATTTCAATAATACATAAAAAAACAGTGGGGGCATTTTAAATAGTGGGGGTCCACATTAATCTATAGGTCTTTGGAAATGAATTATAATCTTAAGGATGAATCTAAAGTTGTCCCAAATGTATTTGGACATTTATGAAAATTAATGTGTGATAAATATCATTCCAAGTGGCATGTGACATCTGTAAACAAATGAAGCTGAGCCATGTTTGCTATATCTTTTAACGAAACGGTTGAAAAGTGCCACTGTTTGTTTTTAATTGCAATCTTTTAAATAATAAACATAGAAAGACCGTTACAAATCAGTTACATTAACTCAAATACATTAACTCAAATATTAGGATCAAAATACAATGATATAAAAAATGTAATCGGGTAATATACATCTTATGCATTCTAAATCAAATGATAGATTTAAGGCTTTAAAATAATGGACAGCTTTTTGCTTTGTTATCTTAATGTATACAAGTAGTGACCTATTCTATTTTAAAATGAGTAAAATTAGGATCATTTTTACATGCTAGTTTGCATTAAATAATTTACCATATCTAATTAGTAAGTTCACAATATACCAAATTTTTAATTTAACATTATTATCACAAAAAAAAGTAAGATATCTTTTTTTTTTGTATTTCAGTATTTTTTATTATATTACAGTATTATTTATTTATTTACAATGATCTTTTTTCTGTTTACATAAGTAATGTTCAATAGTCTGTGTTAGATACTTTTCCTATTTTCACGTCAAATCTAAAATAACAGTACAGCTAGGTGTAAACCGTTTACATTTTCAAACACGAATTGTCGTTGACCAGTTATACAGTATTTTGGATGGATTTTTTGGCTAATTGAATCTTAAAAATGGCTAATGTCAGTCTAGTAATGAAAATGGTTAACTAACCTGTTAAAAAGTGCCGCTACTTCTTCTTCTTTTTTTTCTTTAAGTGCAATATTTTAAACAATAAACATAGAAAGATAGAAAATCAGTTACATATGAGTTACATCACTTCAAATATTAGGATTAAAATACAATGAAAATGAAAGAAAAGAAATCTGTAGCCGAGAAATATACATTTTATAAATCATTTAAAGGATATATTTAAGGCTTTACAATAATTGACAGTTTTTTGCCTTGTTATTTCTCATTTCTTTTAACGTATACAAATAGTGACCTATTTCTGTTTTTAAATGAGTAAAAATAGGATTTTTCAATGCCAATTTGCATTTGTGGGCAAATAATTTGCCATATATTATTAGTAAGTTTGCAAAATACCATATTTTAAAATGACCATTATTATCATAAAACAAAAATATATTTTTCTGTGATTTGAAATCGAAATAATTTTGTTTAAATGCAATATATAATTTTGAAATTATATATATATATATATATATATATATATATATATATATATATATATATATATATATATATATATATATATATATTAACTAATTAACTA